ACCCAGGCCGGGCAGGGTGGCTCATGCCTGTAATCCTAGCACTTTGCAAGGCCAAGGTGGACTGATCGCTTGAGATCAGGAGTTTGACACCAGCCTGGCCAGCAGGTTGAAACCCCATCTCTACTAAAAATACAAGAAATTAGCCAGGTGTGGTGGTGCAATCCTGTAGTCCTGTCTACTTAAGAGACTGAGGCACAAGAATTGTTTGAACCCAGGAGGCAGAAGCAGCAGTGAGCTGAGATCATGCCACTGCACTTCAGGCTGGGTGACGGAGTGAGACTCTTCAAAATAAAAATAAAAAAAGAAAGCCAGTGTTCCCCAAAATCAACACGGTTCAGCAAAACCTCAGTCCGAAACCACAAAGTTTCACAAAGTCCTATTTATAACACTGAACAAAGAAGAAAGAAGAGAGGCAAAAAGAAATACTGACAATACGCCCATCTCCTCAGAGCTGATGAGACAGCAGTGGCCCCAACACCTGCCACCCCAGGTTCATGTCTCACCCCTGTCCCTCAAAAACTGTGTCAACGGCATATATAAATTACTTAACTGCACTGGATCCCAGAGTCTCCCTCTGAAAACGGGCCAGTAAAGTAATGCTCCATCTATTTTAGAAAGAATCTTAGGTAAAATAATCTAAAGGAAGTGCTTTGAGAGGCTTAACTTACAAATAATAAACATCATTTTGTTTTTTGTGGGTTTTTTTAAATCTTGAGACAGAGTCTTGCTCTGTTGCCCAGGCTGGAGTGCAGTGGTACAATCTTGGCTCACTGCAACCTCTGCCTCCCAAGTTCAAGCGATTCTCCTGCCTCAGCCTCCCTAGTGGCTGGGATTACAGGTGCCCACCACCACTCCCGGCTAATTTTTATACTTTTAGTAGACATGGGGTTTCTCCATGTTGGCCGGGCTGGTCTCAAGCTCCTGACCTCTGGTGATCTGCCTACCTTGGCCTCCCAAGGTGCTGGGATTACAGGTATGAGCCACTACACATTACTTGAGTCACCCTCATAATTAATGTGAAATCACAGGAGTCAGTGATTTAGGGAAAGGAGTGAGGACAGCATGAATCCTCCAGGCAAAGGGAACAGCACGTGCAGAAAGTATCAGATTGCCATTTCCCTAACCCCTCCTCTCCAACAGCCTCCCATTACACTTAAAATCATCAATTCTTGGCCGTGCGTGGTGGCTCAAGCCTGTAATCTTAGCACTTCGGGAGGCTGAGGTGAGTGGATCACCTGAGGTCAGGAGTTCAAGACCAGCCTGGCCATCATGGTGAAACCACATCTTAAAAAGAAAAAAAAAATCATCAATTCTCATCGTGGTCTTAAGGGCCCTATTATGAACTGCCCCCGTCTCATCTGCTGCTACTCTCCTCTTCACTTCTGCCCTCTGGACACACTGGTCCTATTACTGCTCTTAAATATGTCCAGCACATTTTCACCTCAAAGCCTTTATCCTTACCGTTCCCTTTGCCTGGGATGTTTTTCCACCAGTTATTTGCAAGGCTTCCTTTATTAAAGTGTCACCTTTGCAAAAACACCTTCCCTGATCCCCCTATTTAAAGTACCCCCCACCCTCAGTAGATCTATTTTTCTTTCTAGCACCCACGACGCCAGTATTCTCCTATATCACATCTTCATGTGTCTGTTCCTTTAACGTCTGCCTCAACTCATGAAAGCAGGGGCTTTGCTACAGGCATTCCTAGTGTCTTTAGCTGTGCCTAGCATGTGGAAAGGGCTTGATATATATTTGTTGAGTAATTAATGCATTAATACATCTCCTGCAGGGAGAGAAGGTGCTCAGAGATAGACTGTGCAGGGTGACTGACACATAGGATGGAAGGGGAGCTGCAACAGAATATGAGACTGGAGTAAGTCTACTTTCTAGAAGGTGTGAGCCACTTTAACTTTTCTTGTTATCTTGCCATTATAACTATCCCATTAAGCAATAACAGTTCTCCGCCATTTAATTTTTTTATTTTATTTTTTTTGAGATGGAGTCTTGCTCTGCCACCAGGCTGGAGTGCAATGGCTCGATCTCAGCTCACTGCAATCTCCGCCTCCTGGGTTCAAGCGATTCTCCTGCCTCAGCCTCCCAAGTAGCTGGGACTACAGGCATGTACCACCACATCAAGCTAATTTTTGTATTTTTAGCAGAGACAGGGTTTCACCTTGTTGGCCAGGCTGATCTCGAACTCCTGACCTCAGGTGATCCGCCCACCTCAGCCTCCCAATGTGCTTGGATTACAGGCGAGAGCCAATGCGCCCCAGCCCAGACATTATCAATTAATAGCTGATCCCTGCCCCACAGTGTGGTTTTGTGGATCCCAAGAGATAAGCCGCAGCTAGAGAAGAGTGTTCCAGGTGCGGCAGCTCATGCCTGTAGTCCCAATGCTTTGAGAGGCCAAGGCAAGAGGATCACTTGAGGACAGGAGTTTGATACCAGCCTGAACAACATAATGAGATCCACCTCTACAAAAAAAAGTTTAAAAAAACATAGCTGGACATGGTAGCGTAAGTCTGTATTCCTAGCTACTTGGGAATTTGAGGCAGGAGGATCACTTGAGCCCAGAAATGGAAGGTTACAGTGAGCTATGATAATGCCACTGCACTCCAGCCTGGGAGACAGAGTGAGATCCTGTCTTTATAAAGAATAATAATAATGTTAAATTTTTTTAATTAAGAAAAAAGGAGGAGTGTTACATTATCAACTGGCCTTCTTCCATAGAGATGACACACAAGTTTTGGGCAACACAGAATCATTGTTTGAAAGAACCGTCGTGGTAACAGAAATACCTAACACCTGTTACAATTTTACAAAAGCATCTAAGAAATTAAAAGTAGCAACAACACAAATGCACATACTCAAGTATACAAATGGAGGTGCTGATGGATCCCTTCCATTCAAATTCATGTGAGTCAGAAAGATAAGAGAGTTTCTCCATTTCAATATAGAAAGCAAGTGACAGGAGAATGAGTACAAATTAGGACATCAAATGGTGACCGTATCACCTTAAGACACAGACAAGAACTGGGACAGAAAGCGTAACACAGGAAGGACACAGTCCAGGGTGGCCATCAGTACTGTGCTCATATCTGGAATGGCTATCATCTGTGAGGACTTACTACAACCCAGAGATACTGAGCTAAATACTTAAGTACTTGACACAGTTATCCTTTTAATTCCCACAACAGCATGAGGAGGTAGGTTCTATCGCTGCTGTAATGTCACTAATGCAGACACTGAGATTTACAATCGTAAGGTGACAGGGCTCCACTTCAAACTCCGTCTGACTCTTAACCATTATGCCACTTAATCTGACCACTCAGACACCCGACCAGACCCTTACCCCTATCCACTGTAGAGCAGGCTCTTTTATGTGACAAATATGTTTTGTTTTTGTTTTTGTTTTGAGACAGAGTCTCACTCTGTCACCCAGGCTGGAGTGCACTGGTGTAATCTCAACTCACTGCAGCCTCTGCCTCCGGGGTTCAAGTGATTCTTGTACTTCAGCCAACTGAGTAGCTGAGATTACAGGCAGGCATGCACCATCACAAACACCTGGATAATATTTTTTTTTTTGAGGCAGAGTCTAGCTCTGTCGCCAGGCTGGAGGGCAGTGCCGTGATTGGCTCACCACAACCTCTGCCTCCCAAGTTCAAGCAATTCTCCTGCCTCAGCCTCCCTCGTAGCTGGGATTACAGGCATCCGCCACCATGCCCAGCTTATTTTTGTATTTTTAGTAGAAACAGGGTTTCACTGTGTTGGCCAGGCTGGTCTCGAACTCCTGACTTTGTGATCTGCCCGCCTCAACCTCCCAAAGTGCTAGGATTACAGGCGTGAGCCACCATGCCCAGACACCTGGGTAATTTTTGTATTTTTAGTAGAGACAGGGTTTCACCATGTTGGTCAGGCTGGTCTCGAACTCTTGATCTCAAGTGATCCGCCCACCTCAGCCTCCCAAAGTGCTAGGATTACGAGCATGAGCCACCACACCTGACCAATAAATATGTATTTTTCAATTCCCTCAAGTATTGTAAGGCAGACAGGGTTACAAAGGAGGTGCCATTGCTTCTGCACCCCTTTTTCTAGTGGTTGCCCCAGAAAACTAAACGAGGAAGGCGGGATGTAAAAAAGACCACAGAAGTAGCAGATCAACCCAGAGACGGCCACTCAGAAGATTCAAGACCCACCAACTGAATACTTCTGTGCTACACTATACTTATCTCTTCAAAACAGCTGAAAGCTTACTCTTCATAGACATCCTGCTATCTGAAGTTCCCTCACTACTCATCTCCTGGCCTGACCAATTCCCCTCCTCTTGATGCTGCTTCTCCAGTCACTTACAAGCCTGAACCTCCAAGTTACACAACAGTATTTAAAAGAAAAAAAGGGGCCAGGTGCGGTGGCTCACACCTGCAATCCCTGTATTTTGGGAGGCTAAGGCGGGTAGATCACCGGAGCTTAGGAGTTCGAGACCAGCCTGGCCAACATGGTGAAACCCTGTCTCTACTACAAATACTGAAATTCACCAGGCATGGTGGCTAATGCCTGTAGTCCCACCCACTCGGGAGGCTGACGCACGAGAATTGTTTGAACCCAAAAGGCAGAGGTTACAGTGAGCTAAGATCATGCCACTGCACTCCAGCCTGGGCAACAGAGTTAAGACTCGGTCCCCCAAAAAACTAAAAAATAAAAATAAGAGAGGAAAGGGGCATCCGCATCATTTGATGGTAAACAAATTACTTCTGGAGCTTTGTAGAATCGACTTAAATATAGAAAATAAGATTTAAGTAAATTCTTTATTAAGAATCTTATGAAATTGACTTATATTCTGGCAAAGAGAAAGCAAATGGGTGATAGTTTTCTCATATGGGAAAGAACAGTTATGTAAGCAGCCCACATGGAAGAGCCACGCTGAAATCAACATAACGAGACTGGCACAGTCCTGCTTCTCTCTACAAGTCAAGATTACAGTGGGGATTGCATGCAGAACATACTTTTCATACAGCCTCTGTCCTCTCATAAAGGCCTTCACTTCGTTATCCAACGGGAAGGTGCCGTCATCCTTTCTAAAGCGGTAGAAGAGTTTGACATCCTTGAATTCCTTATGCTCATCACACACTGAAACACAACATACACAGAGAGGCAAATGAGAAAAAAAAAAAATCACTCATTGCTCAAGTGAAGTATGATGCTGATTAAGAATGATTTCACTACCAAATTCTTCATGCGTATCTACCATATGAGCTAATACATGTAAAATAGTGACATGATACTTGGTACAGGGTAAGTGCTCAGTATTAGTTATTATGATCACCATCACCATCATCTTCATCATGTATTAGAAAGTTCACAAAATTCAATTCATCATGCAATCTACAAACTCTTCTAAAGCATACTGGCGCATGCCTGAGCCTCAAAGAATGTGGAATCTAGTTCAGTAAGGAGAATGCCAGCTACAAGTGAAATATGGCATGATAATGCTACAGAGGGAAGGCGAGAGTGCAATGGGATCCCAAAGGAAGAGTACCCACTGCCCCAGGAACACAGCTTTGGAAAAAGAAAGTTTCCCCAAAGAGTTTGCATGTAAGCGGAGACCTGAAGAATGAGCAGAAATTGGTCAAAAAATGAGGGGAAAGAGTATTCCAGGAAAACAGTGGCATGTGCAAAGGTCGAGGCCAGGATGAGAGATTCCAAGAAGACACATTTGTGAGTCTTCATTGAACCCACTGAGTTGAACCCAGGATGAGAGATTCCAAGAAGACACACTTGTGAGTCTTCATTGAACCCACTGAGTTGAACCCAGGATGAGAGATCCCAAGAAGACACGTTTGTGAGTCTTCATTGAACCCACCTGCAATCCCAGAACTCTAGGAGGCCAAGGTGGGTGGATCAAGTGAGGTCAGGAGTTTAAGACCAGCCTGGCCTGAGAGTAACAGCAAAAAACTTGGAAACCATGTAAATGCCCAGTGAAAAATGTACAGTGGCTTTACAGAAGGAGCAGGATAATAATTTCGAAAAAAAAAAAAAAGAAAAGAAAAATGCACAGTGGCATAATTATACATGTTTTATACAATAGCAAAAATAACAAAGACGATCTATACTACCAACATAAATCAATCTCACATTTGCAAAAGAATAAATATGCACTTCTATAATGACTTAAAACTTTTAAAACAATGTGACATATTCCTTAAAGATGCATATACAGAGAGGTGTAAAGCCATACCTAGAAATAACCCAAATGCCTCTTAGAGGGAGGAAGAAATGCAATCAGGGAGAGGTACACTGGAGATCAAATAAAACAAAATGTTTTCTTTCTTAAGTGGGTATGTTCATGAAAAGATTTAGTCCTTCATTTTCTCTCAAGTCACCTTGACTGTCGCCACGTCACTCACCATGGTGAATAATGCCCCGGTCTGCTAATTTCTGCATGAGTTTAATTGCCGTCTCTCTGTCGGAAGCCTCTTTGTGTTCAATCAGCCAGTCAATCAGTTCTTTTGCGACAAAACAGTTTGGGTAGGTCTTGAGGTGATGACGTCTATCTTTAATAACCTTTTCTTCATGCAGCCTGAGCCTGGAAGAAAAATTAGCAATCATTTTGGAAATTTTGATGACACAAATTATTAAACCAATCCGAGACAGTAATAGCATAACAGAAGTTCTAAAGGCATCAGAGTGTCATTAAATATCTTTAGCTCACTGTAATCCCAGCACTTTGAGAGGCTGAGGCAGGAGGATCACTTGAGGTCAGGAGTTTGAGACCAGCCTGGCCAACATGGTGAAAACCTGTCTTTACTAAAAATACAAAAGTTAGCTGAGTGTGGTGGCAGGTGCCTGTAATCCCAGCTACTCGAGAGGATAAGGCAGGAGAATCGCTTGAACCTAGGAGGCGGAGGCTGCAATAAGCCGAGATCATGCCCTGCACTCCAGACTAGGCAACAAAAGTGAAACTCCGTCTAAAATATGCCCTGAGCTACTACTAACCAATCTTGCCATCATAAAGGAAGAACCTGCCTAGGAAGAAATCCAACACAGAGCAAATCGGACCAGATAGAGATAAAGAGATAGAGATGAAAGACACACACAGAGAGAGAAATTACAAACAACCCTATTTGAACACCTGAATCTAACAGTTCATGAAGCTGCCTAACCTGGGTTTAAATTACATGAGCGATACATTCCCTGTGCTTTAGTGAGTTTATTCAGGAACCTGTTACTAATACAAATATTGTCCCAATACACCCTCCAACTGAATGCCAGCTTGTGGCTCCAAGGCATGGAACGTTTCCACAGTGGTGCCTTCAGAGACCACATAAATGGCCAGAGCTATGTGCTCTGCACCCAGTGGTTCCAGAATTTTGGGTGGTCTGTTTTTCACTCTCCTATCTCCTTCCCTTGTCCTGCTGTGATATGCACCTGCTGTCCTTGTTCCTGAACTCAAGCAGTTCCCCTAATCTGCTCTTTCTGTTCTGCTGTGGTCTGCTAAGTAGTTGGTCAGTATTTAAGAGTTAAAATATTTTTAGCAAAAGCCTGATATGAACATCTAAGAAGAAAGAAATATAAGCATTTTGTGCATGGAATGTCTGACATCTATTTTGGTCGCTCAAAACTATCTTATGTGCTTCATTACTGCTCTTTATCTGAATGTGAAATAATTGGGAATAAGTGTTAATGATGCTTGCTATACAATATTCGACCATCTGCAAATATTTACTTTTTGTTTTTGAGATAGAGTCTCGCTGTGTCGCCCTGGATGGGGTGCAGTGGCACTGCAACCTTCACCTCCTGAATTCAAGCAATTCTCTGCCTCAGCCTTCCGAGTAGCTGAGATTACAGGTGCCTGCCACCGTGCCTGGCTAATTTTTTTTTTATTTCTTGTACAGGCAGGGTTTCACCATCTTGGCCAAGCTGGTCTTAAACTCCTGACCTTGTGATCCACCCACCTTGGCCTCCCAAAGTGCTGGGATTACAGGCATGAGCCACCATGCTCCACCCAAATATTTATTATGTAAAACTTAAGAGTCAAATTATATTATAGGATTGGCTAAGGAAAGGACATAGCAATGAATCCACTAGTAACAGAGATGAGGATATCAGTGATATCAGGACAATACTAAAGAACAGGTATCCAACAGACCCAGAAAACATTCTCATAAGATGGTGGTGATAGACAGGGCTGCCAGGTTTAGGAAGGAAAAACTAGCCAGGAAACCCAGTGAAATCTGAATTTCAGGTAAACAGCAACAATTGTGTAGTCAAAGCATGACCCAAATATTGCAAGAGACCTACTTATACTTTAAAAATAATTCATTATACTGTATCTATAATTCACATTTTAGTGGGTACCCTGCATTTTCTGACAACCTTACGGGAGATATATTTTATTAAACTTGAAGGTTAGTACATTAGGATTAATATTTTATGCTTAAAAAAAAAAAAAAAAAGAAACTACATTGATGCCAGATGACACTGTGAGTCCTTAGGGCTTCCTCTTCTAGGGAAATCTAGTTGTGTAATTTTTTTAGTGCACCTAAATCATTATGTTTATCTAAGTATTCCAGAAGATACTTTTTTACCCATGTGCTTGGAGCCAGACTAGCCTTCATTTGCCAACAACCAGGTAGGAAATGTGAACTGTAAAGATTATAAATTGGTAACATTGGTGGAGTGAAGCCAAAGCACAGAATCTCCCTTTCTTCATATTAAGGAAAATAATTTAAAAAAAAATAAAAAGAGGCCAGCCATGGTGGCTCAGGCCTGCCATCCCAGAACTCTGGGAGGCCAAGGTGGGTGAATCAAGTGAGGCCAGGAATTCAAGACCAGCCTGGCCAACATGGTAAAACCCCGTTTCTACTAAAAATACAAAAATTAGCTGGGCATGGTAGTGCACACCTGTAATCCCAGCTACTCAGGAGGCTGAGGCAGGAGAATTGCTCCAACCCAGGAGGTTTCAGAGAGTGGAGGAAGCAGAGGTTTCAGAGAAACAAGATCGCACCACGAGCAAAAATTTAGCTAGAAGTAGCCTGACAAGAAAAAAAAAAAAAACCCTAACTTGATAAATGTTTTTAAGTGGCACCCTAAGCAAATTAATGCAGGAACAGAAAACCAATACCACATGTTCTCACTTCTAAGAGGGAGCTCAATATTGTGTGCACATGGACATAAAGAAGGGAACAATAGGCAGGGCACTGTGGCTCATACCTGTAATCCCAGCACTTTGAGAGGCCAAGGCAGGCGGATCACATGAGGTCAGGAGATCGAGACCAGCCTGGCCAATACAGTGAAACCCTGTCTCTACTAAAAATACAAAAATTAGCCATGCATGGTGGTGCACGCCTATAATCCCAGCTACTCAGGAGGCTGAGGCAGAAGAATTGCTTGAACCTGGGAGGCAGAGTTTGCAGTGAACTGAGATCACACCACTGCACTCCAGCCTGGGCAACAGAGCAAAGCTCTATCTCAAAAACAAACGAACAAACAAAAAGAAATCAGGCAACAATAGACATTGGGACTGATAGGGTTTGACTCCGTCCCCACCTAAATCTCACCTTGAATTGTAATAATCCCCACGTGTCAAGGGTGGGACCAGGTTGACTCGTGGTTGGATCATGGAGTGGATTCCCCCATATTGTTCTCGTGGTAGTGAATAAATCTCAAGAGATCTGATGGGTTTTGTTGTTGTTGTTGTTGTTTTTATTATTTTGGTTTGCTTGTTTTTGAGATGGAGTCTCACTCTGTTGCTCAGGCTGGAGTGCAGTGGTGCAATCTCAGCTCACTGCAGTCTCTGCCTCCTGAGTTCAAGTGATTCTCCTGCCTCAGTTTCCTGAGTAGCGGGGATTACAGGTGTGCATCACCACATCCAGCTAATTTTTTGTATTTTCAGTAGAGATGGGGTTTTGCCATGTTGGCCAGGCTGGTCTCCAACCCCTGACCTCAAGTTATCCACCTGCCTTGGCCTCCCAAAGTGCTAGGATTACAGGTGTGAGCCACCATGCCCAGCGTTGAAGATTTTATAAATGGGAGTTTTGCTGCACAAGCTTTCTTGCCCGCCGCCATGTAAGAAGTCCTTTTGCTCTTTCTTTATCTTCTGCCATGATTATGAGGCTTCTCAGCCATGTGGAACTGAGAGTTCATTAAACCTCTTTCTTTTGTAAATTACCTAGTGTCAGGTATGCCTTTATTAACAGCATGAGAATGGACTAATTTAGGGGCCTACTTGAGTGTGGAGGGTGGGAGGAGAGTGAGGATCTAAAAACTACCTACTACCTACTATGCTCGTTACCCAGGTGGCAAAATAATCTGTACACCAAACTCCTGCAACGTGCAGTTTATTCATTTAACAAACCTGCATGTGTATTTCCTGAACCTAAAGTAAAGGTTGGAAAGAAAAGAATAAAATAAAAGTCAATAAACAAACAAACAAATAAAAGGAATCATGATATAAGAAAGTGATTTAGGCCTGTATTACAGATAGAATGGAATAGCCATAAAACACTCTCTCCCCATTGAAATGACCAAAAAAAAGCTTTGTGGCCAGGCGCAGTGGCTCATGCCTGTAATCCCAGCACCTTGGGAGGCCGAGGCAGGCAGATTACCTGAGGTCAGGAGTTTGAGACCAGCCTGACCAATGTGACAAAACCCTTTCTCTGCTAAAAATGAAAAAACTTAGCCAGGCGCAGTGGTGGGTGCCTGTAATCCCAGGCATTTGGGAGGCTGAGGCAGGAGAATGGCTTGAATCCAGGAGGCAGAGGTTGCAGTGAGCCAAGATCATGCCACTGCACTGCAGGCTGGGCGACAGAGCCAGACTACATCTAAAAACAAAAAACAAAAACAAAAACAACAACGACACTGTGTAACTTTTTGAATAAAGGGAAAAGACAAAAATATAAATAAATAAAATAGCAGCCAAAAAAAAAAATAAACAGGAGATTTTGGAGTGGCCAGGTAAGGCCCGTAGACTCTCACCACCCAGAAGCCTTGTAGCTAAGTCAATGAATCCTCAGAATTTCATTAATAAACCCAAAGTTTGGAGAATTAAAAAAAAAAATGTAAATAACTGAATGTTCTATCTTCTGATTAGGAGACAGTTGACATGGCTGCTGGGGAAAGACAGGTACAATGAAGGAAATGAAGAACTAGATCTTTTTCTAACAGCGAAGGCTCCCAAGCTCAATAATACATTTGGGGACCACTGCAGGGGTGGAAACATCCCTCCACAGCAGCGGGCTCCACCTCTGACTTTGTAAAACGAACCCTGGGGCAGGAAGTTGAACAAAACCTCAGAAGCAAGGCTCTCTGACTCTCTCCTTTTCATCACCACGAGCCCTTAAGTTGTAAAATGGTGGAACAAATAATTAGCTATCACATTTAGCTCAGAGGGGGAAATGACATTCTGAGATAACTTAGGAAGGCACCAAGGAGATGTCACCTGTCTTTATTTCCAAGCACAGATAAGTATGGACAGATAGAAAGTATGGACAGAACCATCTGCATTAAGCATAAACATCGTGGGAAAAAGCAAACAGCTATGTGACTCTGTGAGGCAAAAATAAATAATGTTTAAAAAAAAAGGAA